TCTTTTAATCAGCTAAAATACCATATTTTTAGAGATTGTGACATCATTTAATAGTTACTGGAACACAAAACACTAAAAATGGTTATATAGTTTATAAAAAAGAAGAAAGTCTTGTCTAAGCAATAACCTTAATAAACTGTCATGTTTATAAGCAAATTCTTATTTTCTCTCAAGGTCTTACATCTAATGTAAGAAATACTTGTTCAAGCATGCCTTTTGTCTTCCCACTATATGAGAGCTTTACTGTTAGAAATTTTTATAGGACTTTTCACTTGTGCACTTTATGTTCCTCCCCTGACTCTTGCTTCAATCTCCAAAAATGTTCCAAGGCAGTGTGTCTAAGTGACATGCTGAAGCAATCAAGGAAGATGTGTAAACATACCCTGGCCAAGTTGCTCAGCTTGAAAATGATTTATTTCACTCTTAGTGTATATATGTTTAGTTTGTCTTTTTTCTAGTGCAAACACTTAGTATAAAACTTCCTAAGGTTAAACTTTGCCTTTTTCTCCCTTAAAAAGAAAGAGTTGTTTTCCAAAAAAACTGCTGTAGTTATACAACTGTAAATTCGAGTCTGGTAGTGGACGAGATCAAGAGCATGAGTTCTAAAGAGATTTTATTATACTGATTTTACGATATTTATTTTTTGTGATTTTTCTGTCTCACATGACTCAATATTCTTCATCTCCTGTACTTTCTTACCAATGCTGATCAACAAGTGGCAGACTGAATTAAGGCTACTTTGAAAGGACTAGGCCAAATTCTTCAATATCTGCTGTAACTCATGGATCTGTAAGTGAACAAAGATATGAACACTCCCTATTGTATTTGGAGAAAAAAAAAATTAGAGACCTCTATAGTTCTTGCTATTGGTTTCCTAAGGTTTCTTTGAAACCTTAAGAAGACTAGGGAATGGCTTGATTCACGAATCACAAGCACTAAAACTGGAAGGCCAAGGTAACTGATTGCTCACTTGCATGGGGTGAGAATTCATATTCATATGGGCAGCCTACTTCAAATTAACTTCAATGCCGGAGAAAATACTTGATATATAGAATAAAGCTCTGTGAGCAGTACTGTGGACCATTCAGATTGTTTTGGATTTGTCCTCTCTGAATCTTAAGTTTTAAGTAATAAATCAAGACAGAAGCATCTTGGCTGCCTCACAAAAATAACTGCTGTTATTTCAGATACATAAGCAGTTCCTCTTTTGGCAACTACAATAATCAGAATTTAGAACCACCCAACAAATCAGCAACCTCCTCTTAGATAAAAAGGAAATTGTAGGGGCTTGGGAGAGATGTGTCTGTAGTATTGTTCTTTCACAAGATAAAAGAAGGATAAAAGAGAAGTTTACATTCCCATCCTTCCCTTCACTTTTACCCCAGGGTCTCTACTTATCTATTGCCTTTTTATTCAGTGCAGCTGAGACCAGTTACCTCCTGTGCGATTATTGAGGTCAGATCTTAAGCTGGATGTGTGCTACAAATATTTCTTTGAGATATAAGGAAAAACAGATTGACAAGAAAAAAGAATCCATTCCATTGCAGATACTCTTAAATGAAACAGGCAAGAGAGCACTAGCTGAACATGTCGCCTTCTTAGCATTTCTAGTATGCCAACTGTAGAGAAATATCAGAAGGATTTCATTTGGTTTTAAAGATAGTTTTAAAGTTCTTGAAACTGCTGCATTGCATAGTTCTCATGTGTAATGTAGACTGTCTTGGGAAAAGAGGAGCTATGATACTTGAAGAACAAACGTCATTCAACACTTTTCCCTATAGTTTTATGAGATGATAGGCAGAAAGATAACATGAAAGTAGAACTCCTCTGCATTAGTAAGACTTCTGACTGTCTCCCTGCTCATCTGGCTGTTCTTTTAAAACCAGAATTCTTTTGTATTGCTTTAGACAGGCTGTTTAAGCCAGCAAAAATGGTGTGCAGTCTGCATCTGTTTAGTCAGTTTGAAGCAGGTAAATGAATTATATCAGTGGCTCACTATGGAGCATTTTGTGTTCCTTCCTTTCTTCTTTGCCTTCCCACTCCAATCTAATTGCAATCTTGCTTTTGTAAAAGAGGTAGTCTTAATATAATGATGATCAAATATAACTGATGTGTACGTATGGAAGCAAAACTGGCAGTTTGGTACATGTGCTGGTACATGTTTTCCTCTGCAGTCCTGGCCAGAACGGTGCAAATTACTGGCATGTGATGGCATACTGCCACTACCACCTTTGGAAAAAGATGGCAGTAACTGCAAATCCTTTTTCCAGCCATCAGAAAAAATAAATGCCTGCACTAATGATCTGTTTCCTATTAAATTTAAAAGCAAGGGTGAATTGGAGAGTCTTCTCAGAAGCAAATAGATTATTTAGATGAATAAATATTCAGGGAAAAAAACAAGTGAATATGCCAGAAGCTTATGAAAAGCATTGAGATCCTGGGCACATCAGGAATAGCGGCTTTGATTTGCTGCTTTTTATCGGACATCCTTTTTATTAGACATACTACTACTACCATCAACATCTTTTTCACAAGAAAAGCTGGTAGAAGAAGGAAAACTATTAAACTATAAAAATTATTCTTTTTTTTGATCAACCCAAAGGCTACAAATCACATGTGGGCTCTCATTTCCAGACAGTTTGAGTCTGGTTATGTTATTCCTTTGGCAGTTGAAACTCTGAATATCTGGATAACAGTAGTCAGCTTGATACAATTCAACTCTTTCCCCTTCCTAAAATGCCCACTCCACAAGAAACTCATTTACAGTGATTGTGAAAACCTGAAGTTTTCTCTTTTAAGAAATTATACAGAGGTAATTCAAAAGAAATTAGGGATTGAAAATAATTTAGAAGTTTATCTTAAATGACCTCTAGAATCCCCTCCCTCTCAATTTGGTGAAAAGGTTTCCATTTGAGCAACTTTGAATTCTAGAAAATAATGGCGGCTGAGAATTAGGCCAATAAACAACTTCTTTTTCCATGTTTTCCACTTCCAAAATTAGGCTTCAGTTTGTTGCATTGGTCATCTAATTCCTTCCCTCCCAATACGTATATCAACATTGAAGTGTGAATATGATAATTAAGTGACCTGGATGTTTCACTCTAGCACGTATGCTGCTCAGACAGGAAGTGTGTTTGGAGCTGCATTTTTATTATATGCTGGGGAGTATTTTGCATTTTAGGTTTCAATAACTTAAGCTGTCAGACCATTCTCAAATACAAGGCAGCATATAGTTTCCAGTATTTATGAGGCACCACACACTGGAGTTAAGTGCAGGCAGGCATTGCTGTAGACTTCCTGTGCCACAGGGTATATCCGATAGGGTTTGTAATGATGATTTTTTTTTTTCCCCCCCAGAGATCATATCCTTCTATAAGCAGGAGGGAATATCCAGAAATAGATTTACTGAGGTTGCTTTCATATGCCATTGATGATATTGATTGCTGGGAGGAGTACTGTGGTATACCTTGTGCCTTTAGGTTGCTAATGAGCAGCCAAAGAGGTCTTGCAGCAGCTCCAGTGTCTTGGAGCTCAGAGTTACATGCAGCTCTCGTGTTCATACCACGTTCTGGAGCAATGTGTTCAGAATAGCTGGACAGCACTATCACTGTTTTCAGTGGAGCAAGTGGCATGAAATACTCTTCTGTCTATGGATGGGTGACCAGCCACTAAAGTAACATCGGTTGTGTCTTTTGGCGATTGGTCCCAAAAGTTTCTAGAAGGTCAAAACGCACTGCCTCAACACATTCCTGTTCCTGAGTAAGAAATCAGGGGATCAGTCTTTCTATCATTTGGAATATGGAAGATTTCAGGGCCTGAGCATTTTGTACATCACATAAAGTGACAGCTTGACTACTCCAGCTTTGTAGAAGTTTAATTTTGGCATTTGCTGGACTCCTTTTTCACCCCTTGGTCAGGGAAGCCTTTTTGTATCTCTCAGCCTGTCCCTCTGATTTCACAGGTCTTGTGACATATTTGCAGAGGGAAAACTAACTTGGTTAATGGTTAATTTTTAAGAAATAGGTTATATTCCCCAATATAGATTGATATAGATGTAATTCATTGAAGGCAAACTAAGAAAATTTAATTTAAAAAAATGTATGCCATTAAAGTGCATTTTTAAAGCATTAAAGTGCTTCATTTATGTCAGGTCAGTTGGACACTTTTCATTGATTATCTAGGAATAATGTTAGTAATTATTTGTTAAAGATAGTCTTACATCTTACATATGTCCAATTATTTTCTCACTGAGTTAACTTTCCTTTTTAATTTGATGATTGTATTGCTCATCTCTAGCTCCAAGGATTTATTTCAGATTCTCAGAGCATAAGGATTCTTCTGTCATATTTCTCTTTACAAAGGCATATCTTTCTTGTTGAAGGGAAAGAGATCTGGTATCTAGACACCTGTTAGCTAAAAGCTACACAGAGGTTTATTTCTGTGTTGTCCTCTGATCTTAAGTCTCCTTCACTCTGCAAAGGGGACATACAGTAGGAAGTCTCATCCATATCAATGGATGCATAGAGGGAACACACATACAAGTGGCCTTGGAATTGAAAACCCCAAGTCTGCTTGAACTTTCTTTGGCTTCTTTGTACAGATACTGTATGTCTCCTACTTCCCATTTCTCTCTGTTTACTAGTTCAGGTGCCTCAATTTATAGTCTTTATTTAAATAAAATACCCAAATGAGGCCCAACTGCCTTTAATTTCTGTTGCAATAATATTGTGAAATGTTTTTCAAAAGGCTTTGAAAACATTTTTCTTACAAAACTCTGTGGAGAAAAAAAAGATGCTAAACAATTGTGCAGTTTTCTGAGATCTGAATAAACTCAATAATAAAGCTTAATTGATCCTACTTCTCTGCTAACAGTTTTGCTATACTAAAAGTGCTTTTTCTTAGGTTCTGACATGTTCTTTGTGAAAATCACATCAAGTTTTAAGAGATGCCTGATACTGCAGAAAAGTAATGGGCTGTTTTTCTCCTCCTCTTTTGGGCAGTTTTGGTATGAATCATGATGGAATTGGAAATTCCTGTGGGACCAAAGGTCATGAAGCAGCAAAGCTAATGGCAGCTCATATTACAGCAAACACCAACCCTTTCTCTTGGTCAGCCTGCAGTCGGGATTACATCACCAGTTTTTTGGAGTAAGTAATCTCTCAAGAAAAATGATAAGTTGTTCCAAAAGTTCACACTTCTTAGAATACATAGTTGGTGGAGCTATAGTGACCTTTTCTAATAGTTTACAATTTTAGGATTAAAAAAACAAAAGTGTGAGAAGTCTCTTCAAATTTTCATATTATATTCTTTTCTGTGTAGTAGCAAAAGTTTCTGCTGCTGCATTCTCAATCTCACAATTCTTATTTTTTATCTATTTAAAACTTTTTGAGATGCTGACTGTATTTTGTTACTACATTAATCTGAAAGTAAGAAATAAAAATGAAGAGTAGAGAAGTATATTTTTAAATACATGCACAGTGTCAAGCAATCTAAGAGAACAGCGTTCTATTCCAGTTCCTGCTAAATTTTATTTTTCTGATTATTTTTATATTAATAGGTTAAAGTTTTGTTAAATTGTCCTAATTGGATGGTGATTTTTGTCTAGAAAAGCTTTTTTAAAAAATTTTTATTTTTTATTTTACTCTACTTGGGAATTTTACTTCTATTCAAAAAATAATACAATCAAAATATGTTAATCACAAAAATGTACCGCTTGGTATACATTGGCATACGTGATGCATAATGAAGCCTTTGTTTGCAATTTAGATTGTGGAAGACAAGCAACCAAAGTAGAGTGAACGTGCTGAAAGTAGATTAATAACAAGAGTTTTAAAAACGTGTGTTACACAGGGGCTTCGTGGAGGCAGACTGCAGTTTTTAGGTAGGTCCAGTCTCCTCAGTGCAATCATTCCTTTAAGAAATAAAGATAGTTTAATAATTCAGGTACTTGTTACATTGCAGGAGGTAGATTTAAACCAGGCTTAAAACAGTGGTCTAACCACTAAACTACAATGAACAAAATGAGCTTCTTCTCCTCTTTTAGATATCTAACTTCAGAATAAGGTGCTGTATGATCAGTCTTACCTGGACGCATCCAGGCAAGTAATATTTGCTTTTTATTGATTCTAATGTAGCTTCCCGTGCAGTGTACAGGCACATCAGTTTGTTCTGTGTAGGTGCTTATGCTCCATAAAGAGTGGACAATTTCGTGTTGATATGAGGCACTGCTCAGATGAACATAATTCTCTTTACCAGGCTGAGGCACTTTGTATCACCGCACTGAGCTATGCAGTCACCTTTTATGTACTGCAGTGTTTGGGATGACTGCCTAAACTAAAATATGCTGACTAAATCATCCTACACATATTTGTGGTACATGTTTCTCGATCAGTTTTCTGACAAGAAATACCTATGCATTCATTTAACACCAATTAAAGGGAAAACTAGGCAATGCTGTCCTGTTTTATCACTGCCAATCATTTCTGTCAAGGCAATGGTGTCCATTCCCTTCAGCATTCTTTCTGGTATATTATGCAGTTTAGATTTAACTATGATCAAGAATGGGATTTTCCATCTTTTCTGGGAGATTATTTCCCAGCTTAGTAATTTTGACAATCAGCTCATATTTCAGGTGTTTTCTTGGAGCATTTGGAGATTTGTTTCTCACTGAGTTCTGTTATTCTCAGTCTTGTCTTGCCTTTATTTGTTGCTCTCTTTTGATCTCCATTTTGAACTCATTACGGTTCTGAAGATATCTTGTCTATAGATGAAGATGTTACATAACTTTTTAAGCAGTTTACTGTTTAAGCAGTTACTCCTTATTTATGGGTTTAAAGAAACACATAGTGAATTCTATAGCTTGAGTTATGCTGCAGACAGAAAAGGTCAGCAAATCTGATCATAACAGTCCTTCGTTGTTTTAAATTTCAGTTTGGATGATCTTCCTTGATTCTTAGCTTGATGCCTCTGTGTAGTAGTTATCTTTTTGGTGCAAACTTTTTACTATATCAATTATAAAAATATTTAGCTTGTGGCTTTTCTACTTTATTATCTTTTTTCCCTGTATGACTTACTATTGGTATCTCCCTAATTCCATTCCCCATGTTCAATTTGCTATAGATTTTCAATTTAAAGTCAACGAGATGCCACTGAAATTGCAGTTACGCTAACATAAGGACAGTATAGTACTCTAGTGAATCTGTTCCCATAATCCTAATCTCCGATTTTTTGAGACACTTTTTTTATCATTTGCAACTCTTAACAAATTAGTGACATCTCTGAATTCTATGAAAATTGTTATTGAAGATCCTAGAAAATATTTGAACCATAGAAATAATTCCAGTAATAGGTTGCTTTTTATGATATTTCAATTACGCTTTTATAGCCCAAAAAGATTTTTTTTTTCAAAGCCACTTTGGATAAACATTGTTTTAGGCCTTTCAATTATTAATGGATTTTCCAATTGTATAAGTTATATTGTTATATAATGGGTTAAGAGCCAGCCACCTTCTTTATCTACTAATTTTGTAATCTGTAAAAAAAAAAAAAAAAAAAAAAAAAATCTCCATGTCATGTATTCATTATAAACCCACGTTCCTTATTATTCATGGCTCTAATATTCCATAAATGCATAGATTACATTTTTTCCTTAAAATAGTTGTTGCATTATTTCACAAAGTAAAATAGTCTGCATCAGAATCTGTTTTCTTTCCCATGTAAACTGAACTTTATTTTTTCCAATTTTCTAGTGCTTTGCCTCCCCAGTTATTCATGTTGTTTCCTCAATGGCTACAGGAAGCTGCTATTAATTAATGGAAAGTGTTAAAAACCTGTTGCACAGATATATACAGGACAGCTGCCAAAAGCCAAAATTGCTTCTTTTTTACCCATTAATATCTTTTCTTGAGGCAGAACATCTTTAAGAGCAGAGGCCTATCTATTGCAGGTCAACATCAGACAGCAAGAAGCAAGGAAAAAAGTAAAAGACTTTCATGTTGTACCAATTCCCTGTATAGCAGAACGGTCTGCATTCAGAAAGGAAAAATGATTCCATTTTTTTCTAATACTTCTTCACATCTTAGCAACAAATGAGGAAAGGCTGGTTTAGAGCTCTAGAAGAAAAGGCTGAAGACCCTGTTGTCTGTGTCTACGTGTGCTTAATCCCAGATGAATGAAACTCTGCCCTCTTCCTGTCTGTTTTTCTCAAGAATGGGGAAACACCAGAGACAAGAATCAAAAGACCGCAAACAGGCATGATAAGTGCTTTCTCTGTGCACAGTAGGTATAGCAGGATTCATTTAGCTATGTCTGAAAAGTAGAACATGGTGGAATGAAGTGCAGAAATGCCCAAGCTGCAGCAACCTGAGCCAGTGAATCTTTGTGACATATCACAACAGCTTTTGAATTTATTGGCTTGGGTCTGGATGCAGTCCAGCTACGTTAGGACAGGGCTGTCATGGTGCCAGGATAATGCAGCTGGAATGAGTTCAGCCTGAAACTGGTAAAGTCTTCACAGCGTTACAAACAAGGTAGATTCATGTGGATTTACCGGTTTGGGCCACCACTTTGCTAAGGCATTTTTGCCTGGTGCCCCATTTCACAGGATAGTCAAAACCATTCTGTACTTTCTCATCATGCAAAAGCATTCTGAAACAGAAGTCATCCTAGTGATACTCAAAGGATGTTTAGCTTCACCTTCCACTTCCTCAAGACACACACACACACAAAAAAAAACTACTAAAACTACATCCAGATATAAATTTTCCAAACTTGGGACAAAGAGAAGAAATTGAGGAATAGCCATTAAGCGTCACTCAGATGATACCAGTTTGGCCAGACAGTGCTCAAGAAAACTGTTTATTTTGCAGAATGACCTGGTAGAGGATAAAGTGACTGTAAGCATAGTAATAAAGGCAAAGCAAAGCTGTGTATAGTTAACAGCGACCCAAGCTTCCAAGACAGAAGACTAGCCAGCAGAGGTTTGAAATGGCCATATTTTGTAACTGTGGGAAAGACTTTCTGGGAAAAGCACTTATTCTAGTAATAGTTGTTGTTTGTTAACCGTTACGTTAGGGTGAAAGACTGGAGAAGTGTTGGTAAATGTTTTATGACAAATTTCTCTAAAATTTAATGGAATTAAATGCAAAAATGCTTCCTGAGAATTCAACATTTGGTGAGCAATATCAGAGGACAAAGATTCCTGTGAGAACGGTAAAAAAATCTTCCAAAATATTACACAGGAAAGTTACTGAACCCTGAATGAACCCATCACTACCTGTGATGTAAAACTAGTCACTTTAAATTTCATTCTATGCCGCATATATATACTTACATATCTATGTAGCATTCAAGTTTCATTATATGCAAAAGATATTTATACAGTGTGCCTATTGGATCCTTAAAGTGTGAAAAAGGAACTTTTTTTTACTTCAGATTCTTTTTTCAGTTACTTTTATATTTTGTAGTACCATAATTTGTATGATTTCAGGAATGAGTCTGTAGGATTATCACATGCCAGGATTTAGATCTTAAAGACTACGCCTTTCTGACTCTGGAAAAAGGAGTCAAACTATCTGGGTCCAAGCAAATATCTTCCAGTGCCTGTGTCCAGGCATCATCTGGACCTTAGATCTTGGACATATGCAAGATCACTAAATATATGCAAATGAATATGCAAGATAACTAAAAGATACTTAGGCATTTGCTTCCTGTGCTGCCTGTGGCAGATTAGCCAAGCTCACAATACTCCAGAAAAGTAAGACTGTCCTTGTAAGTCCACATATCAGTTTTATGTAAATTTCATAGCGCTCTCTCCAAATCATTGGGGAAAAGTCACTAGTAATTTACCTATTGGTAAAAATAATTGATCTATTGGCCTATAATTCAGGTTATAATTTGTCTCTTTATTCTAAAAGAGAAACATTTTCTGTGAACATGGCTTTGCAGTACAGTTTTGAATGTTGAATTGGCAAGTAAGAATCTTTTACCATTTCAGTTAAACAAATTCTAAGCAGCCAAAACAGCTTAAACAGTTCTCTTTTTTGTAACTTTTTTTGTAGAAACTGTTTATAACATTAAAAAAATAAAATAAAATAAAATTGGACCTATGTATCACAGCTTGATATCGCTCAGGTTCTTATATCCAGATTGGTGGACCAGTAGACTTTCCCTAGCATGGCTCCTGGATAAGTATTCCAAAGAAAAAGAACACTTTGGACTAGACATGATATTCTGGAGAGAAAACATCATCAAAGAAATGGCAAGTCTTTTAACTACCGAACAAAATAAGAATTGATAATGACACCATTGTAGAATATCAGAGTCTTCGAGATGAAGTAGATAGTCATAAGGTCAAGTCTACATAAAAGACGGAAGAAAATAAAAATTATCACCAGAAAGATTCCTAAGTCCATTTTTATATTAGAATTTCTCTGAAGTTCAAGAATATTTGTATTCAGTAGAAAGGTCTACGTGCATAGTTTTCACGTTTTCTCTTCAGAGCCTTTACTGTAGAAGTGGTGTCTGCACAGATACCTTAATCCATCATTTAGGTCATGAGGAGCCTCTTACTCTCTCCTGAAAAAATGCTCTAAGGAGAATAAGAAAGATCTCTTGACCATATATATGCTACCTGCATAAGATAAAATCATAAAATGCAAAACTAATTCCAATGATTTTTTTTTAAACTGCAGAGATTAAAGTATTGGGGCATTCTTTCCCTTCTTCTCTTTTTTTTTCATATCTATACATTGTTTTTTTTTTTGTTTTTTTTTCACTTTCCTATGCCTGTTGATTACTGTTAGATCTCTGGTTTAGAAAGTGCTCCCATATTTTTATTCATCAGACACCTTTTTGCTTTGTTCTCTTAAGATTTAGCAGAAATCTTTTCTAAGATATGTGGGTTTTGCATTGGTACAATGCAGAGTCAGGAAGAAGATGAGGGGTACAGACACAGGAGTATTACAGCACTTCCGAATCCAGTAGACGTTTTCTGGAAAGGCTGCAAAGATCCTTACTCTGTTAATTTTTTGTGCATGGGTTTGGTGAGACCTTTGATTGCCGATGGGAATGTCCTTGTTTCATGACTGCTTTATTATAACACTTGCTATTTTTTTTCCAAAATACTTAGTTTAACACAGTGCAGTGTCAAATACTAAAAACATATGAAATGTGTCAATTCTGTCCAAGTACCTTGAGAGAAATAATAGAACTAAACCAGAAGGAAAAAGAGAAACAAATTTTCAGTCTAGAAGATGGTAATATAGTATAGTCAGGTAGAGAGTGACCACTTGCTACTTGTTTTCTTGATTTTTATTACTATAACAATATTTCATTTTAATGAAAGTGGCATCATTATCACAGAGCAAGCATTTTTCTACAAAGATTTTGACTTCCATTGTATGAATTACACATTAAATATTTATTCCTACAATTAGAAATAGAGTTAAATGTAGAGGTTTAGTACATTTAAAGATTAAAATGTGATTCTATAGTCTAATTTGTGTGGGGATCCATATATTTATGGAGGCAGTCACCAAAGGTAATGAAAGATTTTAAATGCTGTGTCCTTGCCTACCTGCTTACAGCAATTGTAGTTTACAAACCAAATTCTGTGTTCCTGGAATCTTTGGAAATATTCCTATCAGGTACAATACTAGCTGGAGCAGTTATTAAATGCTAATCTTTTCCTTGCTTTTCTAGTTCAGTTTGGTCTGAAAAATGCAGAAGGATCAGAATTTCATATCGCAATTATTAATATGTACTCTTTATACTCAGAAAGTATAGAGCTAATGTATTTTGATTCTAAAGAACGTAGAACAGTTTCACAACATTTTGGTATTAAAAATTATGTATTTAGAAGAGTAAAAATTGGAGTAAAGGGGAAAGTATCTTTTTTTCCTTCCTGAATCACACATTGGTTATTTTAAATTTTAACACAATTTCAACATGATTTCAACGTGTTCTATGCCCTGATTCTAGGGAAAATATATGTAATAGAAAAACATTAATTTCATTGACATTAGTAATAGATATTTGTATTTTTTATTTACCTGATTATTGATTTGATTGCTATATAATATTTTCCAAAATAGGCAGGGTTTCTTGTTTGTTTATTTGTGATTTGTTACAGTATTTAGAAGAAATGGATAAAATAAGGTTAAAACTGAAAATATAAACTAAACTACATGGTTAAAGGTCTTTTTTTACTCCTCTTATCTGCAAATGAAAAGTATTGAAAATTAGCAATATCCAAATATCCAGCAATATCCAAAATAACAGTGTAGAATATTCACTTGTGAAATTATGTTCTTTTGGCAAGATGCATGGAAAAGATTGGGCTAAAAAAAAAAGTAAGTGTTGGCAAAATTTGTAGGAATGTTGGAAAAAAATTTAAAGTGTTGGCATAAGATTTCTTTAAAAATCCTCACTTATTCACATGCGAAATGAAAGTAAAAAAGCATCTGTCCTCTTTTATGCCCACTGATTAAATAAAACTGAATAATTACATTTAGTAAAATATAAAAACTTCCTAACGAAGAGAGCTTTGCCTCTGGCTTTGTTTATTTGTTACACTACATTAAAATACCATGTTGGAATGTGGGAATATTTTGAAAGAGCAGTAAATATAAAAGAATATGAACTTTTTAAAAGATGCTGATAGTTAAAATAAATTTTGAAGACTAAATAATTATTAATGCAATGGAAAAGAACTTGAGTCCATACAAATCTAAGTATATTTAAAGATCCTTTTAACCACCGTAACTGTTTTGTTCACTCAAATGCAAGGCTGCACATTCAGGTTGTAATCATATAAACTTTAGATGTGTTGAAATTTAAACGTTTGTACTTCTGTATAAGCCAGTTGATCTTCTCATGATCTGTAATATTGTAAAATCCATAGTGGTTGAAGGATTAAAGGGGTTGTTAAGAATTATAAATTTCATTTTAAAAAATTTCTTGATTTGTTTGTTTTTCATTCAATGACCAAATAGTTATTCTTCAGTGAACACAGATAGGAAATTTAAAAATGAAAATCAGTCTTGTGTGGCTCAAAAATTATCGTGCTTTATAAAAGAATGATATATGAAATCTATTTCACAATCTAAAATGAGCATTTTTGTTTAATGATAATGAAATACTATTTTGAGCTCTTAATTCCCTCTAAATATACTTTGATCATGGCTGTACCAATTCACTGTTTGTTTGTTGCAACCATATTTCTTTCACACCCAGTGCTGTTAAAAGTAAGAACTAGATACATGATATCGTTACTGTGATTTAAGAGTCAATAGAATTCCTAATTCCTTTGGTCCTTTATGTTGAACAGTTCAGGCCGTGGTACTTGCCTTGATAATGAGCCTCCCAAGCGTGACTTTCTTTATCCAGCTGTGGCCCCAGGTCAGGTGTATGATGCTGATGAACAGTGTCGCTTCCAGTATGGAGCAACATCCCGCCAATGTAAATATGGGGTAAGAAGTCTTAATCCTTATGCTGAGTGTTCTGCTTAGTCATTTGTATATATTCCTTCATAACAGACATCTTGAGCTAGATGGAGTAGTGAGTTACAGATTTCCTACAGGATTCTGTCTCGTGCTGCCATGTGTAAGCAAAGGGTTGATTTTTATCTTTATGCTGCATCTTTTGCTTGAGTCATTTGTGTGTACGGTACTCCAAAATGTGTGGGTAACGGTGAGTGGGAGAAGCATTTTTTTTAATGTTAGGGGGAAAAAGGAGCCCATAACACTTGGTCCCGCTCCTTCTAAACTGAGCACTGATTTCAGTTAAATGAGATCAGGTCCATCTTGTCCTGGATCAGGTCCATTAATCTTGAAACGTGAAATCTGTAGATCTGTTGTGTTGGCTTTAACTTCTCAATTTAAAGCTACATTTTGAAATTACTTTTGTACTTGTATTGATTCGCCAGGTCTGTTTGTTTTACTTTTTTTTTTTTTTCTGGCATTGAAGTTACTGTTTTTCACATTATTCAGATCTCTTACTGAAAAGAATAATTGGGCATGGGAAGAGAGAAATATGATAGTAAGTAGCTGAAAAGAATACTGAAGAGCTGAGTACTAGAAAATTTGTTTGCTAGTACCAGAGTGCAGTATTTAAGTTAAAGGATTTTACAGTAGATATAAAAAGTGCATACTAATATTTAGGCCATTTATGCAGTATATCTTTAAATATTATCTTGAAGAAAATCTTGCCCAAAATTTCTAGTAAAAGGATGCATTCTGTTATGCTTGTCATCAAATTATCAGCTGAAACTAAATTAAACTTAAAAATATATCTAATGTTTTAAAAATGCGTAGTTTTAATAATATTTTAATTAATGGTTATTCAAATAAAACAGGGTAATCATTAAAATTGTTCTAATAACTTTTCTAAATGTTATGTATAAAGGAAGCCTATGTTTAATATCCCTGAGGTGACAAATACAATATTATTCTTGGGATGGCTCTTTGGCGGATGATGTTGTACAAAGGATTTAAAAGCTGTGTGTAGTTGGCTGACTAGCTTGCTGGGTCTTCTGTTCTTGATCTCTCATCAAACTTCTTTTGGCCTTTATTTCTCTTTAAGACATCACTTCTCACCCTGGTTCTTTCAGGGCCCTGTTTTCTGTCACTACATTTAAGGCATGCTCTTTTTTTCCTTGTTTCTTATTAATTCTCACCACACATTCTATTTTCAGACTAAGGAAATCTGCAGGTATTTAATCTCCTTTTTTTGGGGGGGGAGGGGGAGGGAGTTATGCTGCTTTTTAAGTTAAACTAGAAAGTTAATAATGTGCAAAACCTGGCTTTTCTGCTTTTACATTATCTTTTCAAACTCTATTATATGTAGTCATTGTTGAGAGGATCAAACTGCACAGAGCAGTTTTGTTTTTAAACCAGTATTTTGGCCTAAAAAGTGCAAATAGGAATCTTGACTTTCTGCTGACTGTTGTTTTTGTTTTTGAGGGTTTTGTTAGGATTCCCTTGTATTTACAAAAAAGATGCTAAAACTTAATTGAGGTCCTAGCTGAAAGAAATTAAGTCTTCATGTGACATTACCAGTCCTCCGAATTGATACAGTCTGTTGTGTTCCTCCAGTGTACCGTGGAGCATGACTTAGAAATACATTTTTTTGAGACACATAACAATATTCAGATTGTATATATTTACATAATATGATTGTAAAAGTCTGCTACTCTAAGATATAATACACATTTAAAATATTGTCTAAAACATTGCCTACCGTAATCATAACGCTCTGAAAACACTACCATGATTTTGATGGCACATCTTTCAAGGCACATCTTTGAAGGGAAGCAAAGTGCTTGCAAGTTGATAGGAGATGGAAAATATTCAAACAAGAAATATCTCCTCATGGGAGAAAAAGTTTTCAAAGCTGAACAGTGGAGCTAGCTCTAAACAGACAGAAAGTCCTATTCTTCCATTATGAAAGCTGGAATGGCCTTTGGATCAATACTCCGGATGTTCCTATTTGATGTTGGACTTGCAGCAAAACACTGAACGCTATAATAGTTGATTCCATTCTAACAAATATATGAGAGACATAATGAAGATCCCTAATTGACAAAGTAACCTAATAGGTGCACTAATATCTTGCCAGCAATCAGCAGCCCCTATGCAGAAGGCCCTGGTACAAAAGGGCCACTGCAGTTTTTCCAACATGAAGTTTAGTAACTCAGAAGGAAGGAAACTCTAAAACAAAGGAAAATCTGAGGAATAGTTGCCCTCTCTTGCTTGCATATGTCACTGATTTATCATGGTTGAACTTTTGAGTTAGAAAGACAAAATCACAAATTTTATTTAGGCTGATATGACTAGATTGAGTATTTTTTAGATTGTTAGTATTTCAGACTTAGTACTTTTAAAGCACCTTAGAGAATTGTGACGCTCATTCTGCTGTAAAATTCTGTCCTGTTATGTCTCCTTTAGAAAAAAAAATCTCTTTCAACCATTTAACCTAGACGACAATCTGTGTTCTTTGCCATTTCTCCCTTATTTCCTCATGTATTCTGTGTGTGTGTATATTTCAACCATATGTTGCTTTTGATTATAAGCTAGGTCCTAATCCTGTAAAGAATTTTGCACTTTTAAGTACATGAAGCCTTCTTTTTCCCTTAGGATCTTAAATACCTGGAGAGGTGTTGAGGGATTAGGGCACCAGAATACAAGTACTGAAGAGACTTCAAGGCTCTGGCTTTCTTGTGTGCTTAGTGAAAGGAACTTTGGCCCTGAAAGGAGTTCTTTGGTAGTTTTGCAAGAATTACTGTTAGAATAAGACCTAAATGGGCAAGGGTAAAATAGATCTATCTGTTCATTCACTTAGGGGCGAAACTGCTCCAGCAGAAGCATTGCTGCTGTCAGTCAGATTTTCCTGTGTTGTTCAGCACATGAAGCCAAACAAGAATTCAAGGAGCTCAGGTTTAATGAAGTTATCAGTGATGCCTTTGTAAGCAGCGATCCTTTTCATGTCATGTTTGCATTGTTCTTTGTACTTTCCACCAATACAGTGGCAATTTTAGGGAATTTAAATTAAGGAATAGATACTTTGAATAAAAAATAAGAAGAAAACTTCTCACAAATACCTAAAGCACCAATACTTAAACATCAATGATTAGTAAAAGTAAGCAAATAAGATATATTTAAAATATTGTATTTTTAGGATTCAGTATCAGAATTAGGGGACTATTAAAACTCTCATTAAGCCACATTGTGGAGAATTTACTATATGATATATAAGCACAGCTTTTTCCTAAGGTTCAATACGTATTTTCACATATCGGACTGGATGCAGCGCAGTGGGAGACCCTGAGGTTATTGGAAGCCCTGTGAACAGTGGCAGTTGCCATTCATCCACATAGCTACAGGATAGCTGTGTCCTTGCTAGGATGATGCAGCGGGACTTATCCTCTGCTGATGATCTAGCATGCCTCCTCTTCACTCCATGTGCTGATTCTCTGGTATTACAGAAACTTTTTCAATGTTTTTGTTTGAGTAAGTGCAAGGAGAACATTTTTCATGAACTCCTTCCTTCCTTAACCTCTTGAGCATCTGCTTAATAATTGGACTGTATCTGGGTTAACTTGGGAAAAAAAATCCAGTCAGACTTTGAATTTCTCTGTTTTATGGGGTTTAAATAGTATCTGGAATATGCCTAACTGTATTTTAGAGATTTTGTGGTTCAAAATAATGCTTTGCTTTAGAGCTGGTCCTCATTTTTAGGACAAAGGCTAAAACCTCAGTCATTTTAATAGCAGTTAATACTTTATGCATATGGTTGATATTGCTGTGGTGCGTTTTATGATCCTGGAAGGTGTTGGCTCCTAGCATAGATTTCAGCGATAGTGTCTAGCATTATAGTTAGTTGCAGTCTTTGCTTTCAGACTTTTGGTGGTGTCAGTATTATGCTTTAAAAAGATGCATAAGTGGACAAATTCTTTCCTTTGCATACATGACTACCTTCACTCAAATCAGCAGGAGCAATTAATTCATATTTCATACTAGAATTTAACACATCAGGTAATGTATTTTAGCTGATGACAGGTAGCTCTTTTCTGTGTCATGGTCTTATGTTTGCAATTAAGTTCTACAGCTAGTTTGCCAACTAAAATAGCTGAAAATTCAAACGTCAGTTTATACTCACACTTTGTTAGTGCATTTTGGAGAACAGATGAAGTTCAAGCTGTGACCTTACTGCTTCTTACTGCTTATGAAAGGCAGAATGAGGATATATCCTCACAGTGAGGAGTCCTCCTGCTGCCCTCAATACGTCCCTTTCTTTTGTTGTTTCTGAGAAGCTTTTTATGAGTTACGGGGAATGCCCACAAGGCAAATCTCCATTAACAGAAAGTTATTGGAAAAGTGTTGACTACACAAATACACCTTCATTGCTTCATACCTTCACGGCTTCCTACATTCCCACGTGCCAACTTAGAATAGCCTAAGTAATGAGCTGAAATCCAGGACAATAAACAGATTTTCTATAAATATTTCAGTTCTATAATATTTTTTCTAAGGCAGAGTAGTCTGAAATTAGAATTGACCTTTGTAATTATTTGTGATGCAAATTTTAGTGTTAGGAAATAATGCATTTTAATATAGTGTGTTTTTTATCTGAACAGAAGTTATTACAGATTCTGAATAGCCAGGGTTGGCAGTGTTTTCATGGTACATACATTTGACTTAAAGGCAGGCATTTATTTTAACTTTGAGCTTTTACTAAGGTGAAAGCTGATTCTGGGGTCTGTTTTTCAAAAAGGAAAGGAAGAGAAACACAGGTATATCTTTACTGCAACACTACCAGTTCCGTTCTGCTCCCTCGCCATCAGTGGATCGTAATATGCATTCACTTGAATTTGTACACAGTCCTTGCTAACTGGCTGGGAAGTGGCTCGTTCCCTGGCTCCTCACAGCTGAGTCTTTTTATACTCAGTGGTTTTGAGCAGAGCTAGTTGTTC